GGACAATCAGTCACCAATGTCGGAGATACAGAGTCCAAATGTAACCGGTGTCCGAACTGTGATGCCACCAAGTATCAACCCCAACAATCTCCAAGTCTCCAATCCGGTAAGTACCACAGTCTCATACCACCGAAGTCCAACACTGATCTCTGTCCAACTAGTATAAGTATCCAATCTGAAGAAGAAGAAGAAGAAGGAGAAGAAGAAGAAGAAGAAGAAGAAGGTGGGAGCCGAGGAGGAGAGAGAGAGAGAAAGAGGGGACTGGTGAGGGGAGGGAGGAGAGAAGCCTCCAACTCCCGATACCTCAGGCGGCTATGGCCGCTGGTAAACTCAGTCGCCGTTGTTGCTGCTCGCTCGCTGCTGCTCCTCGCTGCTCCTGCGCTAAACTTAGCGCCAACGCTGTATCGCGCTGTACCATACCGTACCGGTAGAATGCCGGTAGGTCGATCCCTTAGAATGAGGCCAGACCGGTCTTTTGTACCGGTGGGGAAGAGGCCGGCCTCAATGCTGCGAGGCCTGGCCGTGCCCTGAACCGTCGAGATCGACGGTTCAGCCCCAACCAGCGGGCGGCAGCCTCAAGAGCGCCGCCAGGCCCAAACGGTAATGTCGTTTGGGCCTGCCCGTCGGGTCTGGTCCAAGGTAAGGCCTTTACGACCTGTAGTACCCCCAAGGTCGGGCCTTTAGGCCCTAATGTGTCCCTCTAACCTTGAGTCGGGTCCGGTAGGACCCGTGTGGCGTCGAAGATGTAACAGTGCTCCTGGGGTGTAACTGCCTGTTGGGAGGGCATAGTCTCACATGTGCCCCATATTCTGCATGCAGCTGCTTTCACGTCCCTAGGGTTGTTCCTTTTTTTTTTCCTTTTTCATTATTTGTTTTTCTTCTCTTTTCCGAAGAGTATCAGAAAAGAAAACACAATGGCACCCAGGCTCGGCAGATTCCGGTGCACAGTGAAAGCCAGGGTCGGCAGAAACAGGCTCGGAGGTACTGGTGGTTTAATGCAGCGGTACCAAAACAGGGTAAGTGAGGGGCTAACCCTAACTCTCCGCCATTCGTGGGCATGGATGGGGGAGCACCTAGCTGAGATGATGCAGCGTTTCCACTCGTTCCTAGAGCTGGAATATGGTGCRCGGCGACCCGGGATAACTTGGATAAGTCCCATACAGAATCCACCAGACAATTACCAGATGGGGTAGGCTTTTGCCTACGGTACCATGTCTACAGACTCATCTTGAATTCTCCCTTTTCAGGTATCTACTTGAATTCTCCCTTTTCAGGTAAATTATCTCTTTTGAAGAGGTTTTCCACGGAGACAT